CGTATTTTTATTTTCTATTTTAAGAGACTTTCAACTAAAATTTTTTACGGAATTGCCCATGTTAAGACGTAAGTGTATACAGTACAAATACACACGTAGTGTACGAGTATATCAGCAGCTCTACTTCATGGCAAGGGGGCTACCGACTCCTAAACCACAAGCCAGAAACCGCGAGGTCAGCAAAGTACACAATATATCTCTTCTACCTATACATCCAATCACTATTCCAACTCCTTCAAAGTCAATATACTTATATACCTATATACACACGTATAAATATCTAGACATTACTCCATTCTCCCTCGCTTTTCTGTCAATGCATTCACCGTGGGTGCGTCTTTAATTTTGGAGTCACAAACATCCTCCTCGTTAGTCTCTAATATTTTATCAGGTAAATCCTTTCTTGATTGAGAAACTTTTTTGTTGATTTTCTCAGTTTGACGACGACCGCATAAAAACTTTTTTTTTCCTTAAAATAGTATATGTTTGGGACAGTATATGACATGAGTTTGAACATGTGTGATGTGTAAAATATAATCATTAACAAATAAAATGCAATCATGTGAGTCAATTAAGATTATGTGTTTTTCAACGTAAGAAATATATTAAATTAATGGATATTTAAATAAATAGAAAATAAAATAGTATAGCATTGAAAATTTCATACGCCAAACTTGTAGTCAAAATAAACTTAATGGTAAATTCATACCGTATTACCTATGTACAAAAACATCAGAGGATAAACATCACATTGAACTACGGTATGATCTAGCATATACGTGTATACACTTACACACAAAAACGACTCCGAGTGGTTATTTATAAATTGCGGCACTGAACGGCGAGATTATCAAAATCATGNCAAACAACATGTAAGTACCTACAATATTTTCTCAACGGTTTTATTGCACCTTCAAATTTATCAGTTAGGTTTTCTTTTAATCCAAGTTTTTCTATTGTTATCAATTATTTCTTTTCTTAAATCCGTAAATGGTAGAACACAAAATTCATTATTCTTTGTAAAAACTTTAAAAATTTGGTTTTTAAGGTTTTTGTTGAAGTAATTAAGAATAGATAGATGTAATTCTCTTCATGTTTGTATAACCATAAGAAAATCTATCAATTCCACAAACCATAATCTAAAGTTTCCTTGTGGTTCTTAATAATAGAACAATGTATCCCTCGTAAACACAATAATTCTACGTGTCGATATTACTTTATTAATCATTCATAAATGTTTCAAATTTATTTACAATATTAAATTAATATTGTGCCCATATATAATGCGTGTCGATTAGACGAACCACGAGACTTGGCAACTACACAAATCCACCTCGTCCTTGGAAGCAAAACGACGGAATTAAGTGCTTCTCGAGGATTTAGTCTCGTTGTACATCATCCTCTGGAACCGAACTTGGTTGGGCCAAAGCTTCGACATGGATTCTCTACATAAGGCAGTGAGAGATCGAGACCATGATAGGCTGGAAGAGCTGCTACGTTCCGGTATGTGTGACATCAATCAGAAAAACGATAAAGGAGAGACGCCATTGGAGATAGCGGTGTTTCTCGGGGATTTCTGTGCGACCAAGCTGTTGTTGGACTTTGGCGCCGAGCCCATCCTCCAGGCTGACTCTCTTACGCAAGACACGGGCATACGTGGCGGTAAAACGGTTGTCATTCGGGAGCTCATCAATCGAGGCTGCCACCCAGACCGGATCACCTATCCACCACATCGGGTAACTGACACCATCTGGAACATGGTCATAGAAATGAATGATCCCGAAGTAAGTACCTTTGCACATTTTACGAGTGGCAAGGATGATTTTATTGTAAGGTCGGGAATTTGGATTTTAGCTCCTGCAATGTTTGCTACAAAGTGCCGAGCGAGAAATACATGATGATGATTGGTCCAACGCGTTACTGTTTACCGCCTGTGTAAAAGGTTCATACCGAATCGTGGAATATTTAATAAGCTGTAAGTTGCCTCTGGATAATAAAGATGCAGAGGGTCGATCTGCGTTATTCTATGCAGTGCTAGGTGGTGATATTAGAACGTTCAAGCTGCTCATGGATAATGGCGCGAATTTGCACCAACTCGATAAAAATGGCGCGAATCTGATGCACTACGCGGTTGAAAGTATTAACCATCATGACTTTGTCCAGTTATTACTCGAGAACAATGTAAACGTGAATGTTTGCTCTAAATACAATGGCATGCCGTTGCATCACGCGATTTACAGGAATTGGTTGTTCACGATTAATTCGTTGGTAGAAAACAATGCTAATATAAGTAGGGGGGACTTATACGGAAGAAATCCGTTTGTCGCTGCTATTGATATTGACTGGGGTATCGCTGACTATTCGTGCTTTTACACAGGCGGTAAACAGTAACGCGTTGGACCAATCATCATCATGTATTTCTCGCTCGGCACTTTGTAGCAAACGTTGACTAGAAATAAATTTAAAAAAGACGCTACTTTCCCTTTTGGTCACGCATTACAAGTGACAATCCTAGTTGTAACATTCAAAATGTTTAAGATAAATATACATACGTCGATAAAGTAACATTTCACCTTAAATAGACCACTACTTACGTTTAAAAAATTAAGAAAATTCAACAAAATAAGTCGTCATCATCATCGTTATCCACTTCTATGTAGCCGTTATTGTCCATTAATTCGCAGCTCGCCAGTACTTAATTTTAACTCATCACAGCGGTATTATGGTTAATATCCTCAATAGATGCAGTGACATTAATCTCCTCTCAGATGATCTGCCTAATACCAGAGATGAAGTTCCTGCCCAGTATGTGCACGTATTCAGTGAAATAATGCATATGATTCTCGAATAAACCGCCAATGTTAGGCTTGTTGGTATACAAATGCAAATTTTCCTCGTTGACATGCAAAAACTGGTAGTACGTTATCTTGCCGTTGTCCATTGTCATTGTCTTCAACAACTCAACCTCCTTGATACATACATTCCTGAAGTACTTGCAATCTTTTTTGATTTGCTGTTCATCGC